TGAATAATTACGTACACCAATTTTTAGAATCTACTATTGGATATATGTTTGGCAGAGATATAACTTGCAGAGAGCCAATACATCGATGCGATGATTATCAACCAGGTGTATTAACAGAATTTGGAAGAACCGGTATAAAAGTAGGTATTCAAATAAATATTTTTCTTTTGTAATAATGGCTATTAAAATACCAACTGAAAATTTATAAATTAATTTACTTATTTTTCAAGGAAGAATAATTTTTAATCTCTTTGGCTTTTATTATGTATAACTTCGTGCAATACGGGGAAAAATAAAATTTGAAAAACTTCGATTTTCTTTTTTTAATTGCTGTCAATATTATCAAATGACAGCATAAACAAGGTCTTGACGCACCATGTCAATTTTGTATAAAGTAATATAAGTACAAAATGTACAAAGATTTTTGACGTCAGTAATTGTTTTACATTATTTTTACATAAATTTTCGTTAATGTTGAGTGTAAATCTGGTAAGTAGATTTTCTATATTATATTTTAATATCTGAGTAACTAGAATATTTTATAATCATTTATATTTACTTTCATTTTCAAACACACACACTAGAAATGTGTTTATAAATATAATTTGTAACATTATTGATGACTTCTGTTTATTATACGTTTCACTAGTGACAAATATTATGAAAGTACATTTTCAATAATAAAGAAATTTCATGATTTAAGAAAAATGTAATTATAAAATTTAAATATGAATAATATTTTAGCGGTAATAAAAATTGGTTAACTATTTGTTTTTAATGTTTCATCACAGACAGAGTACTATATATCATAATTTCGTAATTATTTGCGCCTCTCAAAACTAACACTAGATGTCACGTTTTAATATGTTAAACCTTTGGCCTGTTGGAATATTTTCTGCTAGTGCCAAATTATAATTTTAGAGATAAGGGTTTAATATTTTTAGGAATGGTTAGAAACATTTTAACATAATTTGTGAATGAATTACGCATCTTAAGAAAGTTACCATTTACTCATATTTTAAAACGAACAATGGTAATTATCAGGTTATAAAGATGCAGTTATAAAATTTTAATTATTAATTGGTTATTCATTATTTTAATTTAATAACTTTCCTTTCATTAAATCATATTTTACTTTTTTTATACGTGTTGCATTGAATAAATTATAACATATAAAGAAATTTTGGAATGAGATGCAATAATTTTAACGATGAATACAATTATAATAGATATAACAATTTTTCAAAAGAAATTCAAGCACTATTACTAATATTGGAAATAGAAATCAATTAAATGTGTACATGAAGTTGTTCAAGAAATTCTTGATGCCGTGTGGGCTATGTGCTGCAGTACCAATAATGAAACCTACTAATCCTGTGGAAGAACATGCTACACCTTGTAATAATGAAACACAAGGAAAGAAATTAATAAAACCATCGGAACTACCCATTTATTCTGTTGCAGATGGGTATTCTAAGCAGATGCCACGGTAAAGCACAAGTAATTTCATATTATATCCTTGTTTATAAAAGGTTTATAAGAATTTTATTTTTTTTAAATATAAACTTATTTATGGAATTCTTCTTAAAAGCATTATACTTCAATTATACTTTATAATTAATGTATAATATAAAAGAATAATCATTTCT